TAAGGGAACTTTCTGCCTAGTTCTTGGCTTGATTTCCTAGCACAGTGGTAGGCACATAGATACTAAGTTTTGTGTGACCGATTAAGAGAAATGTGTGTGGGTATAAGCCTGCACATGGAACACTGAAGACATCTCTTGCCACGCAAATGCATGTTGTGTTGTATTTCCTGGACAATGCATTTGTAAAAGTAAGTACATGTGTACTTAAAGCTATATATACATTTATTTTAAAATTGTAAGACAGGTAAGCCACATTAGTACATCCATTTCCTCCCCCTAAACACAAACTCAGAAATAAGATCAATCAGGACTTTTCTCTCTCAGCTCCTTCATTCATGGCCCTTGCCAGTGTGACTCTACTCATGAATATTCCTTTTGTAAAATACTGGCTCCTCTCTGGACTCAAAATTAAGCCAAGCTGTGATCTATGGAGGCTAAATCTTTTCCTTCTTTATTGCTTCCCAAGTGATCTTGCTTAGAATTCTTTGGGCCTAGCCTTATTTGGCCTATGAGAAACTGGGCCCCAGGTCCACCAGAATGTTGCAACTCCTATAGATCACATTGGAGGGCAGACTAAGGATTCAGCCAAATCAAGCAGCCCAGGACCACATTAACCTTTCACTGATCCTTTCACTTGTTCAGTTAAAAAGAAATTAATTGAATTAGGAAGTTGCTACACATCTGAGAGAGATTGGGGGGGGCCATGGGGGAGGGGGTAGAGGCAGAGATAGAGATGGAGAGAGGCTACATGAGAACCTAAATGTCTGTCCCATCTATCAGCAGGCTTTGAAATAATCATTATCCTGCAAACTGCCCTTGCAGACTAGGGATAATAATCCACCAGTTTCTCCTTCTACTCCTTAGCAGGGGATGGGGATGGATATGCCATTGGATCAATCCCTATGTAGTAAGAAACCAAATAAACTCATGAAAGTAAAAATATCATTTCTTTATTTACCCTCCAAAAGAAAACATGGGCACCAGTTTACTGATGATGCTCCATTCTGCTTCCTTGATATATGCCAGATCCAGTGTGAAATCCAGGACGGGACAGCCTGGGGGGAAGTCCATCATCTCTGGGGAGATTACATGTGTTTCTTCTTTTTCTTTTGCTACTGTTGTTGTTGTTGTTGTTGTTTGGTGCCAGTACTAGGCCTTAAACTCAGGGCCTGGACAATATCCCTAAGTATTTTTGCTGAAGGCTTGGCACTCTACCACTTGAACCACGTTTCCACTTCCAGATTTTGGGTGGCTAACTGGAGATCAGAACCTCACAGACTTTCTTGGGCTGGGCTGGCTTTGAACCATAATCTGCAGATCTCAGAGCAGCTAGCATTATAAGGTAGGAGCTCCTGCACCTGGCTAATTTCCTCCTTTTCTGAGATTTACCAATAGAAACCTTTTAAGAGTTAACACAAAACATACATTCATTCACAGCAAAGAATTTTTACCCTGTTTGATTATGTTCATGTACCAGGGGTGGGGAACCTTTTTTCAGTTTGTTTTTTTTTCTCGGCCAAAGGCTATTTAGAAACTTAGAACATTTTTTGAGGACCATACAAAAGTATGAATACAGGCAGCCTAGCGCAGGTGATGAGAAGCAAAGGAGAATAGATGTCCCATGTAAGAAATGAGTTTACTCTGGCCCAAGTAGTTATTCTTACTTTTTTTTCCTTTGAGAACATTTGGTTAAAAATAAAAGTATAGGAAGAATACAAGACTAATAATATGTTTCCTCTTCCACATAGTACAAACTCTGTAACCATTTAATTAATAAAATGTAAAGCTATTCCCAGATACTTATTGCATTTTAATATTGTATTTCTGCATTTTTGTATTTTAATATACAGTGGGTATAAGTTTTACTGAAAGGTATAAATTATGGCTGCCATTTGGCATTATTGAAAGGGCATAAGGAACCTTTCATACCTTGCTGATTTGTTTGGTTGGAAACTTATGATTTCATAGAAAATTTGTGTCTCAACTGATGTAGAATAAAACCACATTCATTCATTTTGGTGGCAGTGCTGGGACTTGCACTCAGGGCCTAGGCGCTGCCCCTTAGCTTTTTCACTCAAGTCTGGTGCTAAACCACTTGAACCACAGCTTCATTTGGTTTTTTGCTGGATAAGAATCTCACAGTTTCCTGTCCACGTTGGCTTTGAACCAGACTTAGCCTCCTGAATAGCTAGGATTCCAGATATGAGCCACTGGTACCTGACCAACCTCTTTTTTTTTTTTCTTTGCCAAGTTTCCTGGGTGCTTTGTGTTAACATAAAGAGCAGTAGTATAGCTAGGGTTAAAAGCAGAAGCCATGTAAGAGAGGTATGTATTACAAAGCATCCAGGCACACAGGAAGGTTAGAACTTAATATCTGAAATTCTGTTGCTCATTAGTTGTAGGTTGTGAAGGAAATACATTTCTAAAGGGCAAGGTCAATATTACATTATCCCAGAAGTGTCTTTCTGAAATAAGTGTGTAAATATTTCACATAAATATGATGAGATGAGATTTCTGTGGAGGATCTTGCTACATGCAATTACTAGTTGTAACTGCAGGAATACATGGCACGTTGTTCTTTGTCATTCCCCATTACCGATTTCATTTGAAATGGTCTGGAAATACATGCCGATGACTAGTGATGTAACGCTATTTACCTTGGAGTCAGATGTCTAACCAGCCAGCAAAAGCTAATGGATTTGGTTATTTTCAAAGCATTATTTTTCTAAAGCAGGATACTGTTTTCCAGTGACATCATGAATTCTCAGAGTTGTACATCTAGATTCATTCTCACTGAGTAAAGAACAATATAACTGTGAATGTGTAATCACTGAATATGTGTCTGTGTCCGTGTCCTCCAGTACAGGGGCTTGAACTCAAGGCCTGAGTATTATCCCTTAGCTTTTTCACCCAGAGCTAGCACGCTGTGACTTGAGCCATAGCTCTACTTCTGGCTTTTTTGCTGGTTAACTGAAAATAAGTTTCTCACTTTCCTGTCCAGTCTGGCCTCCAACCGAAATCTTCAGATCTCAGGTTCCTGAGTACAGTAGCTAGGATTACAGGTGTGAGCCACTGGCCACTCAGTTTGCTTTATTTTTACCAGCACAAAGGGTGAGAAAAGTGGGCCTAGGAACTACCACCAGGCTAGCGTGGCGCTCCCTCTTCTTCTCCTTGTCAGCACAGGGAAATCAAGAGCCAGATTTGAAGGATGGAGTCTGTGTCCCTGAGGGGCGTTGCCTCACTGGCAAGTGGGTTGCATCACAGGAACATGGTGTGATCTAATTTCATAACTGTAAACATTACACGGAGTATGGTTAATTCCTTTTCAACCCTTGTCCACTTTGCTATGGCTGGACAACTGAGTTAACATGGGTAGGTCTTGGCTTTACATTTTTATAATGCTTTTTTTATTGTGGTTTTTATTTGGTGGTGGTTTTTATTGTGGTGGTGTTTTATTCTAAAGGGGGAAACCTGGGCTCTGATAGATCTGAAATCAAACATTTTTCTTTGAAACACACACACACACACACACACACACACACACAGTTTGACTGAAACACAATGAACTTTTCTGACCTTCTCAATGAGAGCACTGTGAAAATGTTGGGAAAACTTAATTTTTGCCTTGAAAAGGGGCTTGGAGATTTGGGAAGCTCTGAAATCTTTTGTTTTCTTCAGGGCTGTCTGCATGTGTTTTAAATTATGGTTCAATGGGGGCAAGGGAAACTCAGTTCTATGGGAGAGGAAAAAAAGAGACAGAAAAATGCTAGAATTCTTATTTAATCATCCTAAAGGCAACAACTAATAGTCATGCAGTATTTTTTTAAATTTGTAAATGGCAAAATGGACCAACAACAACAAAAAGTAGAATTGAAATTTCTCAGAAGAACAGTAGCAGGTAGGCAAATGTGATTTTTGGGAACTCCCCCCCCATTATTATTATTTATTATAGCTTTAATTCCCCCTATTCCTCATTATTATAAATGCACTTGTCCAAGTTTTAAATAATCCAGATCGTGGCTAAATAGCTATGAAATTCACCATATGGATATTCATTTGTACAATAATAATGTCATGATTTACAGGCGGCCAGTAAAGACGATTAAGCTTCAAAGTGTGGAGGGAATTAAATCTTAGTTAGCAAGTTAAAATTCATAACGTTGGTCTTTAGAGACTTTTTTGAAAACACCCCCCCACCCCGTCTAAAATATGTTTTATCTTTAGGGTTATGAAACTAGAGTCTTTTCCCACTTAGAGATGGGTTCTCCGGGAAGATAATTCTGGTCATGATAAACTTGAGAATTGAGGTTTAAATTGGCTAGCACCTGGAGCGCATTTGGGTGATTTCACAACGTTTTTCTAATTCTCCCAGGTGTCCGTGGCTTTATTCTGGAGGGGGGGAGGGGGGGAGGAACAGGACTTAAGCTGGCGTGAAGAGGATTACTGGGGACGGAGTTCCCCGGTGCCCAGATAGTCTCTTTTGTAAAACTAAGGGGGCGCTTATGTCCCTGTTCCAGGATCACTGCTTTGTAGGAGCTTTGTAGAACCAGGGTGCTCTGAAAAATTAGGGTGACTGTATCCTCTAGATCAAACCCTTCCCCCTCCTTTTTTTCTGCCAACAAATGGAAAGCGCCCCACACCTCCCGGGAGCAGGGGTCCGGGCAGTGGCGTCCGGCGGCGCCTCAGGCCTCCCCGAGTTGCGGGGGGGTGTGGGGGGATGGGAGAAAGTGATCCGACGCGTGTGGCGCCGGGCGGTCCCTGGCGATCGGACTGGCAAGGAAAGGG